ACTGTTAAATTATCTACAAGTGGTGTATCAGTTGCTTTAACACAAGAATCTTTTAATATCATTCTACCTGATCTAGCATCTTTACTATAGTCTAAAGCCTGAATAGAAATAGAATTGGGACATTTTTCATTGATCATTCTTGTATTGTAATTATCTACTTGTTGATTTGTGGAAAATATATGTAAGCTGTCATCTTCTAAATTTGTAACTCTACTTTGTAACATTTCAATATCTGAAGCCAACATTTCTTCACTTTTCTTTCTTTTTCTAATTCTATTTAAAAGTTGAGCAAAAGCTAAATCGTCTTTCTGTCTCATGATTTCTGTCAACTCAATAAGTTTAAAATTTCCATTCCAAATATCTATTACACTATTATGACATAAACTAGAAGCTTTAACTGGTTTTAATTGCCACATATCACCAAAACAAATTACACAGATATTACCAAATAACTCATTATTACTAGTACCCTTAATTTGACATAATCTACCATGAATATAACACAGTAACTTGTGGTCTACCATAGAAATTTCATCTATAATCAGAATCTGTAAATTACGATATTTACACCTCAATGTATTGACAGTTTCTTGTCCTAATGGTTGATATGGTAATGTAAACTTAGTCCTTATTGACAAACTAGAATGTATAGTACTTGCACCAATTGCAAAAGCCGAAACACCTGTCGGCCCAGTTAATAACACAGAACAATCATCTAAGTTTTCTGCAATTTTTGCTAAAATTCTAGAAGCCTCATAATTTATACACTTTATAACGTGACTTTTCCCACTTCCAGCGGAACCTGTTATGAACAATCTTAATGGATCAGGATTTTTACCATGTACTTTATCTAAACAATATTGTCGAACTTTATAAAATACTCTGGACTGAATGTCATTTAACGATCTTAACATGGGAATAGCATCAGCTTTAGAAATTCCACTGATATTATTTTCAGATCTAATTCTATCACTGTTACCTTTATCAGAAATAATGTCTGGGATTTGTGGTTCTGAATTATCTTCTTGTTCAGTATCATTCTCATTTCGAAATCTTTCAGTTTCTATTCTTTCTACTTCAGTTTC